GACTGCCCGTCCCACCAAGACGCCGCCCCAGCAGGCAAGCGGGGAGTCCCTGGCTCAGCAGGGCTGTGGGGCCAGGGCTGTGAGTCTGTAGCCTGGAGGCATGCTTGCCCCCCCCCGCCCCGCCCCGCCCCGCCCCATTGCAACCACTGTGGCAGCTCCTTCCTGAGGTCTTCTTCACTTATGTCCCCTGCATTCGTGGCTTGGGTCCCAGCCTTTCTCAAGTCTGGGTCTCTCCCTGCTCCCCACCCTCCAGCCCACTCCCAGACCCTTATCTGGGTCCACCCCGCACAACTGCTGGGAGCCCGTCCCCATGACAACGGGGCAGATGGCGGCTGCGATTAGATGCTCTCCCTCCCGCCCCGCTCAATCCGTCTTTGAAATTAAATCAGCTGCGATAACATCGACTGGCCAGAGGGAGGGAGAGTGGAGGGAGGCCCTGCCCCACCCACCCCAGGCACCCCCCTCCCCGTGCAGGGGGAGAGGACCAAGGGACAGAGTCATCTCCCAGGACAGCAGGGTGACCTTGGCAGGGTCTAGCACCGCCGAGCCTCAGTTTCCCCATCTGTAAAATGGGGGCAAACAGAAATGCCCCTTTTTGGAGTTGGTGGGAGCCTTGGAGTTGAACATACAGGCCACGCCCCTCACAGAGACCTGATGCCATTAGGTTGAGGACCTGTAGCTGCCCGCCCAAGTCTTCACAGAAGCCTGGCACAGCATGTCAGGAGAGTCGGCACAGGTGCCAGACCCGGCCCCCACCGGCCCTGTAAACCCCACAGCTGAGGTTCATCCCCCTCTGGCCATGGCAACTTGGCTTGTGTCGTTGAATCTGCCTGCCTGACTGAATCCCTTCAGTCAGGGCCCTCACAGGATGAGGGCAGCCAGCAACGGAGGGTGGAGGAGGCAGCCACTGCCCAGGTCTGAGGTAGGCCACAGTGAGAGGCAAAGCGAGCCGGGATCAGAGGGAAGTGGGGAAGAGGGCAGTGCCAAGGTCCTGGGGCAGGAACATGCTGGGTGTATGCGCAGGACAGTAGGAGGCTGGGGGTGCCGCCTGTGCACCTCTGTGAGGACCCTGGATTTCACCGAGTGAGGTTGTCACACAGGATCCCTCTGGCTGCTGGGGTGATGTAGGGGGCAAAGAGGGAAGGAAGGAGGCTGGTACGAGCTACAGGTGAGCGCCGACGGGGACGTGCACCGGGAGGCAGCAGTGGGTGGGCAGCTACATTCTGCAGATGGAGCCTCACCCAGGACAAGACACGGAGCAGAGGCGTTGGCGCTGAACTGAACAGGCAGGAGGAGTAGGCAGCATGGCCCAGCAGCAGGAGCTAGAGGAAGTGTCGCAGAAAGGGTCCATGCTGGGGGGGAGGGAAGGACGGGTGAAGGATCCTGGGAGCCAGCACTTGGCCTTCCTCACAGTGTGCAGCCCCAGCTGGGCGCTCCCGAGCAAGCCCCTCCACTCTCAGGCCTCGGTCTCTCCACCTGTGAAATGGGGCTAAGCGTGGACTTGGGAGTCGGCTAGAGACATGTTTTGGGCTCGGCTGGGCTGCTAGCTGCCACAGGAGTTGGAGCAGGGGGTGGCATGGGAGGGAGAGGACAGCCACTCCACATGTGAGGCTCAGCTGGAAGGAGGGAGCACGGGCAGACGGTGGCCCCAGCCCCGGGGACCCCAGGGCCTCGCAAGCACCCAGATTGCCACCGTGTGCCCAGCCCACAGCGTGTGGCCGCCTGGGCTGCAGGCTTGTAATTCGATTTGCCCAGCAGCTGCCTGTGCTAAGCAGGCCCACTTGACGCAGCCACGGCTGGCCAGTAATTGGTGAAATTAGCAGGTCGGCAGGGACAGAGGTCAGGTGGTTAATGCTGTAGTGGGGACTTTGATGAAGTTAGTCCCAGGGCAGGACTGGGAGCTGGGGTTCGACCTTCTGTGCGTCACAGGACTCCCTTACTCGGGGTAACATGGTTAGGGGCCTCCAGCTGCTGGCTGTCCCAGGGAGCCCGAGCTCAGGCCGAGCCCTGCGATGCAGCTGCAGCAGCCAGGTCGCCTGCTGTGCCCTATTGGCCTGGAGCAAGCCCCAGAGGGGCCCCCGCAAGCCCCTTGGCTTCCTGGAAGAGGCCTCAGTGGGTTCCTCTTGGAGGAGAGCACCCTGCCCACCTCTCAGGAGGGACCCGCACACCCCACACCCACAGGTGCCCCTTGCCCCGGCCGAGCTCCTGGAAACCCACACCAGTTCTTTCTGGCTCCTTCCTGTGTTCAGCCAGGTCCTACCCTGCCCTCTAGGTCCGCAGCCACCTAGGGGCTTCTCAGAGAAACTCCAGGAGTTCTCTGAGCATGCCCCGTGGTCCTGCTGTCCCCTGGCACGGTGTCCTCCTACTCCCCTCTTGTCACATCACTTGTCAGACACCTGCTGGAGGCCAGGCACTGGGCTGGGAATCGGGAGGCAGAGGTGAGCAGAATCCAATCCAGTCCTGGTCGCTGACACCTTCCCTGGCCACGCCAATGCGTCCCTCTCCCAGCCTGGGAGCGAGACCCTGTTACCCACCAACCTTGAACCCTGAAACCGGGGGACCACCTCCTTTTCTGGCTCCTGCTGTAGCCCCTGAGGAAGATGGCACTCAAGCACACAGGTGCCTTCATCATCATCATCATCATTTTCAAAGCGGGTCCTTTGGAATTCACTTCTGGGATGAAAGTCTGTGTCAGCCATGTGACAGATGTATGACCCTCCCCTCTCTGCATCTCACTCTCCTTTTGTATAAGCTGGGGCTGAGGACCCTTCTCTGGGAGAGTCGTGGGCGCTCTGCGGACAGCAGCTGTTCACTTGCAGGCCTCCCCGTTGTTCCTGCCTTTGGGCCTTTGCACCTGCTCTTTCCTGCTCTTCCCGAGACAGCTTTATGGTCTAAGGTCTCACTGTCATTCCAGTTCCCGAGAGGTGCCACCTCCTAAGAAGGGCTGCCGCAGCAGGTGCCACGGCTCACTAGGCTAATCCTCCGCCTGTGGCGTCGGTACCCCGGGTTCTAGTCCCGGTTGGGGCGCCGGTTCTGTCCTGGCTGCTCCTCTTGCAATCCAGCTCTCTGTTGTGGCCCAGGAAGGCAGTGGAGGATGGCTTGGGTGCTTGGGCCCTGCACCGGCATGGGAGACCAGGAGAAGCACCTGGCTCCTGGCTTTGGATTGGTGCAGTACGCCGGCCATAGCGGCCATTGGGGGGTGAACCAACAGAAGGAAGACCTTTCTCTCTGTCTAACTCTGCCTGTCAAAAAAAAAAAAAAAAAAAAAAAAAAAGGGCCACCTGAATCAAGGTCCTACCCCTCCCCGCAAGCCACCCTCCTGGGCACAGTGCCCACCTGCATTCTCCCTGGCGCTCAGTGCCCCCAGGGCCCATGCTCTGCACACCTGTTCTTCACCTGGCTCTTGGGGAGAGTATTAGCTCCACATCTGCCCAGCGCCTGCAGCTGCACCCGGCACCCCGTAGGCACTCCACCAGTCTGGCCTGACGTACAAAGAATTGAAAGTGCTTGATAACATCTGTCAGTTTGAGGTTGATTCAAAATAGCACTTTACTTTAAAAATGTAGATTTCAGGGCTGGCTTTGTGGCACAGCAGGTTAAGCCGCTGGTGATGACACCACCATCCCATATCAGAGTCCCAGCCACTCCACTTCTGATCCAGCCATCTGCTAATGTGCCTGGGAAGGCAGCAGAAGATGGCTCAAGTGCTTGGGCCCTTACATGGGAGACTAGGATGGAGTTCATGACTCCTGGCTTCAGCCTGGCCCAGTCCCAGCCATTGAGGCCATTTGGAAAGTAACCAGCAGGAGGAATATAGATTGCTTGCTTGCTTGTTCTCTTTTTCTCTCTTTCTGTCCCTCCCTCCTCCCGGCCTCCACCCACCCATCCCACCCCACCTCCCATCACCATGCTTTTCAAATAAGTAAATCTTTTTTTTTTTTTAAATACACATTTCTGGGGCTGATGCTGTGGCATAGCAGGTAAAGCCACCGCCTGCCATGCTGGCATCCCATATGGGCACCGGTTCAAGACCTGGATGCTCTACTTCCGATCCAGCTCTCTGCTCTGGCCTGGGAAAGCAGTAGAAGATGGCCCAAGTCCTTGGGCCCCTGCTCCCATGTGGGAGACCTGGAAGAAGCTCCTGGCTCCTGGCTTCGGATTGGCCCAGCTCCAGCCATTGTGGCCACTTGGGGAGTGAACCAGTGGATGGAAGACTGACTCTCTGTCTCTTTCTCTCTCTCTGTAACTCTGCCTTTGCAATACATAAATAAATCTTTTTTAAAAATTACACATTTCTGAAAGAATAGCCCTCAGTGGGCCTCAGGTCACCAGGACAGGTAGCCCTCCTTCTGTGGCATTGTCAACTCCTGTGACAGGGAGCTCACTCCCCTTGCCTCTGACTTGTACATCTGCTCCATTCTATTGGGACCTGCTCCCTGTGGTCTCCCTCCCACAGCCTGTGGGTCCCAGTCCTGAAGACGGACAAAATGAATTCATTAGGAGAACGGCATATGCAAAGGCCCTGAGGCTGCCAGGCTTTTGGTGCAGTAGAAGAAAAGAAGGGAGCCAGTGTGGTGGAGCTCAGAGGAGGAGGAGGAGGACAGAGGCCAGGCCCCCACGGCCTCAGGGTGAGGCTGGGGTGTGAATTATTCATGCGTAGAGCAGAGGGAGCTATGAGAGGTTTAAGGCAAGGCAGGAGGTGGGATGTGCCTTGGAATTGGCTTGGCTGCCACGTGAAGAATGCCGGCGCGGGGTGGGGGTGGGGGGTGGCGATGACTTGAGGGTTGGAGCAGGAAGGCCCAAGGGAATGGCGGTGGCCAGCACTAGAGAGAGATGGTGGGAGTGGGACACGGGGCTGGACTTGAAGTAGACTGGGACAGGGTGACTGTCACATTATCAACCAGGATGGGAGGACGCACGAGATTACAAGACCCCTGCAGCCCCAGTGTGCATCCACCACACCCCACGCCAGCCCACCCCCTACACAGCCGGCCGAAGGGTGCAGTGAACACACTGGGCACTTTATTGGCCATGAGCCTGTGTGTGGGCCTGGAGCGGCGCTGGCGGCGGGTGGGTGGGCGGCCAGCGCTCACTTGCCGTCTACACGCTTGAGCTGCTCCTTGCCGTTGACCGTGACCGACCTGAGCTGCCCGTCCTCCTCCACCTCCACACGCTCCTGCCCGTTCTCCACAATGCGCTTAGTGGTGACCTTGTGGCCGTTGATCATCTCCGTGGACGACATGACCGACTTGAAGCCCGAGCTGCCGGAGCCGGAGCCCCCGAAGGAGGTGGACGAGAAGGTGGTGCGGCTGCCCCCGCTGCGACCCAGGGCGTCGAAGGACGAGAAGGCCTCCATGAAGGCGGGGAACTCGCCGAAGCCCGCCGAGAAGGCGCCTCGCAGGCCATGGCCGCGGCCGCCTCGCTCGCTGCCGAACGGGTTGTCCCAGAAGTCAAAGGAGAAGGGGTCCAGGCCGCCGAAAAACTCACGGAAGATGTCCTCGGGGTTGCGGAAGGTGTAGCCCGTGTCGAAGGGGCTGCTGTAGGGGGTGCTGGCGCCGCCGCCGCCGGCCCGCCAGCTGTCGCAGCCCGCGCGGTCATACACGGAGCGCTTCTTGGAGTCGGACAGCACCTCATAGGCCTCGGACACCTGCTTGAACTTCTTCTCGGCCTCCTCCTTGTTGTCGGGGTTCTTGTCCGGGTGCCAGCGCAAGGCCAGCTTGCGGTAGGCCTTCTTGATGTCCTCGGGAGAGGCACTCGCCTGCACGCCCAGCACCTCGTAGTAGTTGGCCATGCCCAGGGGCTGTGCCAGGAGCCGGAGCCAGCGGTCTAGACGGTGAAATGGGCCCCACCCCAGGGGTCAGGGTGGACACGGCTGGTGGGGGTCCCTGCAGCAGCTGCCTTTACCTTTTCATAGTACCCACTCTCAGGGACAGGTGGGGCCTCCGCTGAGAGGGGTGGGGGAGGGGAGGGACTCTGCCGCTGTGGGGCCAGGCCAGGTGGACCCCCTTCCAGGGCTGGGGCCTAGGCCCTTTATGACATCAGCTCCCGGGCGTGGCCCATCCCCATCCCCCAGCTCCAGAGCAGGCCAAGCCTAGCAAACTGGCCGGCCCAGGCCGACGAGGGAAGCTGCGGGAGTGGGCCCGGAACTGTGGAGCTGGGTCACGTGGGGATGACTGGCCAGGTTCCTGGGAGCCGAGGCACAGAGGCAGGGTCAGCCATGGGGTCTGAGCCCAGGCTGGCGACAGAGGTCAATGGCCGTGGTCAGAGCTGGAGCGAGGGCTCCCTGGAATGTGTCCACATAGCTCAATGGCTGGGATGCCAGGGCGAGGAGCCCCCAGGTAGTGATCAGGCGGCCTGGGGAGTAGGTAGGGGCACCCTGTTATCTTTTCACATTACAAAGATGAGCTTCGCAAAGCCGGGGGCGTGTTTGTCAACATCTGGGCCAGTGCCAAGCACACAGTGAGTATTTGTTGAATGAAGAAGGCTCCGAGACATGGCTGTACCGTGCCCAGGGGCACACATCAAGTCAGGAAGGAAGGGGAGAGTCGAACCTGGAGCTGCTGGAGACGGTAGCCTTGAAGGCTGGTAAGACTGGGAAGCTGGCATGTGCGAGTGTCATGGTTCCACAGTGACCGTCACCTACAGAGACAGGTCCCACCCTGGTCCCCAGAGCCTCTAGTGTTCAGGTTCAGAAGCGTCTTTGCTTGCAATCGAATGAAGGCCGTGGAGATGAGGTCGACGGGGTCAGCCTGTCCCATGCCCCGTGTCCCTGGAAGGGACTCAGAGGAGGGCAAGAGGCAGAGAGTGCAGGGGTGCAGCCGTCGGGACCCTGACGACACGAGGAAGGGCTCTCTGTCTCGTGCGGCCTGTGCAAGCCCTGCTTTTGGACTGCAGGCCTCCAGAACTGGGAGATGCTCTTCTGTTCTTGCAAGCTGTCTGTGTGTAGTATTTCGATACAGCAGCCCTAGAAAACCAGTAAGGCGCGTGAGGTCACCCCATGTTCGCAGGCGTTTGTATTTCATTAATTCTTGCTCCTACTTGGAAATGGCTGGAAACAGTACTGACTTGCGTCTGTTTCTACCTTCACCTCACGCCCTCCTGTTAAGACGGAAGCGTGCTAAACCTCCAGTCACGGGCCAATGCAGAACCCACACCCTCGGGTCACAGAGGCTTAACTGAGACAGCTTCCTCCTCCCCCCTCCTTCCTCCCTACTTTCCTTCCTCCTTCCCCTTCTCCCCCCACCCCTTTTTTAAGGTGTATTTATTTAACTGAATTACAGAGAAGGAGAGATACACGGAGAGAGAGATCTTCCATCAGCTGGTTTACCCCCTAAATGGCTGCAGCAGACAGAGCTGGGCCAAGGCAAAGCCAGGAACCAGGAGTGTCATCCAGATCTCTCACGTGGATGGCAGGGGCCCCAGCACTCGGGCCATCCTCTGCTGCTTTCCCAGGTGCATTAACAGTGAGCTGGATCAGACGTGGAGCAGCCAAGACTCGAACCGGCGCCCACCTGGGATGCCAGCATCACAGGCAGCAGCTTAACCTGCTATCCCACAATGCCAGCCCCTCTACTTGCTTTTTCTAGTCTTTCCGTGGGTCAGTCTCTCTCTTTTCTTCCAGTGCTCATAGGTGGCGTGGTCCAGGCACAAGCATGTTCTGATGAGTCCCAAATGCCAGGAGGGATGGTAACATGGTCTGGAGACGCTTGGCAAACCCAAGCTCAAGTGATGAACAGTTGTCACTGCCTGTGTGTCCCCAAGAGCGTGTCTCACCGTACACCTTCCACATTCTCAGCCATCCACGTGTGCTCATGCATGGTGCTGGCAGAGGGACAGCGGAATAACGATGCTGGGCAGTCGCAGATCGAAGCATTATGGTGTTTCTGTCACTGTAGCAGAAAACTGTTTTGGGGCCAGAGTTGTAGCATAGTGGGTTAAGTCTTCACCTGCAGTGCCGGCATCCCACATGGGCACTGGGTCGTGTCCTGGCTGCTTCACTCTTTTTTTTTTGTTTTGTTTTGTTTTGTTTTTTTTTTACAGGCAGAGTTAGAGAGAGAGAGAAAGGTCTTCCTTTTTCCATTGGTTCACTCCCCAAGTGGCCGCTATGGCTGGCGCATTGCGGGCGCGTTACGACTGGCGCGCTACACTGATCCGAAGCCAGGAGCCAGGTGCCTCCTCCTGGTCTCCCATGCGGGTGCAGGGCCCAAGGATTTGGGCCATCCTCCACTGCACTCCCAGGCCACAGCAGAGAGCTGGACTGGAAGAGGAACAACCGGAACAGAATCCGGTGCCCCGACCGGGACTAGAGCCCGGTGTGCCGGCGCTGCAGGCGGAGGATTAGCCTAGTGAGCCGTGGCGCCGGCCCCAGCTGCTTCACTTCTGATCCAGCTCCTTGCTTATGTGCCTGGGAAAGCAGCAGCAGATGGCTCAAGAGCTTGGGGCCCTGCACTCATGCAGCAGACCTGGATGGAATTCCAAGCTCCTGGCTCAGCGTGGCCCAGCCCTGGCCTTTGAAGTCATTTAGGGGGGTGAACTAGCAGATGGAAAATCCTCTCTCTCCCTCCCTCCCTCCCTCCCTCCCTCCCTCCCTCCCTCCTTCTCTCCCTCCTTCTCTCTCTCCCTCCCTCCCTGCTCCCTCCCTCCCTCCCTCTCTCCCTCCCTCCCTGCTCCCTCTCTCTCTCTCCCTCCCTCCCTCCCTCCCTCCCTCCCTCCTTC